GCACAACTAAGAAATTGGTTTACTTAGTTTTTCTTTTTGAAAAAAATAAAAGACAGACTAGCAATATTGTTTTCGCTACAGCTTTTAAATGTTTGAAAAGCTCAACCAAATACAAATTCTTGCTACCTTGTAATGTTAGTAAAATCAATTTGTTGACTATTTCTCAGCCAATTTACCTCCCTCCTACAGAACTGACCTGTTTTTCTAAACTGACCAAATTAACTGACTCTTTTGCTATTGTGTAGACCCAAATTCTTGGTAGAATTACAATTCCAACTGATATGGGCATATGACTCTTAAACCTTAAAAAAGTTTAGAACTTTTTATTTTTTTAATAATATCAGTCAATAGATTTAGTTTTCTTTAAAAATGATAGGCTTATATCAGAATTTCTTTTTCAGGATAGTATGAGGTTTAAATTAAAATTCACTTTGGGCTGGGTGCAGTGGCTCATTGGAAGGCTAGCACTTTGGAAGTCTAAGGCAGGAAGATTGAGGAGTTCAAGACCAGCCTGGGCAACAGAGCTAGACCTTGTCTCAATCAGTTAATAAGTAAGTAAATAAATACATAAAATAAAATTCGCTTTGTGGATTACTGAATTAGATCATGTAGTTTAATATATTTTGACTAGATATAGGTGAGCCTGCTATAGTGAGATAACTGAAGCTTAAAATACCTGAATATGAACTTTGTTCCTTTCGAGTTTGTGATCCTCCAAAACCCTGCTACTACTTGGAATTTTATTTGTAAAATGAACCAATACCTGTTCTCCCCACCTTATGGGGTGTTTATAAAATACAAATGATATAATGGGTATGGAAGCTGTTTGAAAATTGTAAGGGCCATACAATGTGATTTAAAAAGAAAATTTAGACACATCCTGCTTTCACTTTACTGTTTAACAAGAGTTAACTGTTAGTTGTTTTATATATATTAGGGTTTCTGGGCAAGCCAAGAAGATAATATAAAAGGAAAAGGAGAGAAAAAAAGAAATAAAAAAGGTTGGATGAACAGATTTAATCAACAGACACACTAAAATAAGAGACTTTAGTAAGGATGATGAGTACCTGATCAGTTTTTAAAAATTCATTATACTTTATCAACTTTATCAAAACCATCTAGAAAATAGAAAAGAAGATACCATTCTCAAACTATAGAAAATAAGGTACCATTCTCAAGCTATAAAATCTGTGGGAAATAACCTAACAAAGAACTTTCTGAGAAAAATTTAGAACTCAATTGTTCATCTGGAAATATCTGAATGAATGTAAAGATATACCACATCTTTGACATGTAAATGTGTTAATTTCCCTCAAAATCAACCTATAAATTCAATGTAATTTCAGACAAAAATTATGACAAGGTTTTTCTTGACGACCTACCTCAACATACTTATTCTAAAACTTATCTGGAAGAATAAAGGTTGATGATGCCTAAGTCCATTTTGAAAAGGAAGAACAGTGAGGAGGGATTCACCCCCACAAATATTATAAAAGCAGTGTGAACTGGCACATAGTCAAATAGACCTATGGAAAAGAACAGAGTCAGAAACACACCCAAGTCTACATGGGAACCTGATTTTGAATAAACATGGCACCATCAGTCACTGGCAAAAGAGAAGAAATGCCTAAAACCCATTAATTGGTAGTGAAGAAAGAGCTCATAATGTGAAGAAAAGTAAATTGGCTCACAATCTCAAATATATACTTAAGAGAAATTCAGTGCAAAAGTAATATTATAATTTTAGCTATAAAGCTAATAGAAGATACTAGAAATATTAAAGAAGATCCTCAACATACAGACAATAAGTTGAAAATTTAATAGATTTAACTATATTTTAAAAATGAAGAATTTCTGTTAAAGGACAGACACCATATTCAAAGTTAAAAAATGGTGACAGAATGAGAAAAGATTTATAATACCTAAACCCTACAAGGAATTACTATCTAGAATACACCAAGAAGCTTCAATTTTTTGGGTAAAATGTGGGTAATAATAAAAATAGAAAGTGAAGTGGTCAGCACAGAGCCCACTGTACAGTGAATGCTTATTATTTGCTCTTATTGGTTTCTCTGTTTTGTTTTTTTGTTTGGTTTTTTTTTTTTTTTAGTAGAGACCAGGTCTCGCTCTTGCTCAGACCAGTCTCAAACTCCTGACCTCAATCGATCCTTCTGCCTGGGCCTCCCAGAGAGCTAGGATTACCAAGCATGAACCACTGCACCCAGCGGTTTCTCTGTTTTTATCCTCTGTGACAAAACACATTTGTATGAAGCCATAATTACAGGGGCCCTGAATTTCTGGCTTCTGCATGGTTTCAAGTTGCTAGCTTATGGAACTGCAGAGAAACGTACATACAAATATCCAGCCAGTCTCAATATCCACAGACCCTGTTGATCAAGGTCCCTGGATATGCCAGTGGTTAATAGTGAGGGGGATAACAGTGGTCATTCCTGTGACACAGAAGCGAAGAATATGCTGTGTGCGCCACCGTAGCTATAGAGCCAACTGCCAGGGACACCTGCCGGGTGATGTAGCTAGAAGAGTATGTTTCGTGACTTGAGGTGTGAATCTTGTGACTGTCGTATTTCATTCTGCCCGAGGCTGGGGCCCAAGGGTGCCGTGTCCAGCCATGGAGACACTGGGTGACGCTGCTTCCCAGTCCTTAGCTCTTGGCCCTGGAGTTCCGTGTGGCTGCGGTGGGTGGGAGGCTGGACAGGCCAGCCCCGTCCTGCCGCGATTGCCGGCGGCTCACTCCCATCCCCAAGGACAGATTGGCCACAGAGAGATGGCTTTGCTCACCGCCAACCAAACCTGCTCTCTGAAAGCAGAGCTTTGTCTTTTTCTGCTTTATGATCTCAGCTTCAAGGAAGGTTTTGGCTCCCCAAGTGTGGCCCAAAAACTTGGGTGATGACGCACAGGGCCGAAGGCAGCAAGCTACGCTGGATGGCAGTGACCTGAGCTAGGTCTACTTCTTGGGCTTGGGGGACGGATAAAAATTGTCAGCCAGGACCATCCTGCTGATAGGGAAGGAAAGAAAACTAATGATAAGTCCCTACCGGGAACTGTCACACACACTGTCTCCTTCAATCTTCTGCAAACATGTGAAGTGAACGTTCTTATCTCTGTTTTCCAGAAACAAAAACTGCAGCCCAGAGAGGGAAAATGGTTTGTCCAAAGGCACCCAGCTTGTGAGTGACCCACGGAGCTTTGAACTCTATGTCTGTTGGACTCTAAAACCCACGGGTGTTCTGTTTTCTTTTGTCGGTCTTTTTTCACTGCACCACTCTTTATATCTGCAGATTTGGGGTGTGGGTGGGTGGAGGCGGCACAGATAAAAGGATACGCCCCTGGTAACCTGAATCTAGGTTATTGAAAGCCAATTACATGTCCCAGTGCTGTTTTGGAACATGTGCTCCTGTGGCTGGTTTTATGTGTGGCTTTGGTTCCTCCACAGAAAGTTTGTTCCCATCACATAATGACATCCTTAATGGGTTGTGCTTTGCTTGTCATTCAGAGAAGATAGCACTTTAAGGAGATGCACTATACAACACGGATGGATTCCCTGTCCAGAAAAGAAACCAAGCAGAGCCTTCATGACAGGCAAGAACTTGCTCCCTGCCCTGGTAGCCAGGTGGAATTTCATTTCTCTGTGCTTTTGGGACCTGATGCTTTGAAGAACTGGCTTCATTAGCCTCTAACAGAGATGTACTCATCTTGACTTTTTGGTGTGCTTAAGAGATCACAGGTATTTTTGTAGTGCTATCGGAGGTTGGAAGGATTGCCATGACTACATGTTCTTGCTCCTGTCTCTCAGGTCGATGGCAATGACTAGTAATGATAATAATCATGACAGCGATTATAGCGAACTATTCACTGTGTGTTTGCTCTGTGCTGGGCATTGTGGCAAGCTCATTTTATGTTCAGTATATGTCATTTAGGATTGGTTTGACTACAAGTGGCAGAACCCCAACTTCAATGGCTTAACCGAATGAGGGACTTATTGTTCTCCTATGATAAGAAGTCCAGCTGTAAACATGCCATGGTGGGTATGGGAGCCCTGTGATGCCATCGGAAACCAGACTCCTTCACTGGGGACTTTCTTCCTCATGTTGGCAGCATGGCTGTTCTACTTCGTGCATCATAACTGATTTTAAGGCAGAAAGTAGGAAGGAGGGCAAGTCCAAGAGGCAAAAACTAAAAAGGTGAATGTGAGCTGGATATGCACCCTCTGACGAGCTTTCTCAGAAGCTGCAGCTGGGACCCCCACTTGTACCTCATTGTCCAGAGCTGTGTTGCATGACTCCCATCTAGCTAGAAGAGAGTCAAGTGGGTGTGTTTAAGTGAGCCCCTTGGTTAGAAAGAAAGAAAGGAGGACTGGCTATTGGCTCTGTGGCTAGCTTAAGTAGTAAATGTTTATTCAAAATATATAGATAAGGAAAGTGAAATTAGAGAAGTTAAGTGTTTGCCAAAGGTCACCTAGCCAGGGAGTGACAGAGCCCAGACCTGAATCCAGGTGTCTGACTCCTAAGATGCATTCCTAAATGTTGTGCTAGAATCTGTTCTGGATACTTGGTTTGGGGTAGAGAGAAAAGGACTCAAGGGGCTTTCGTTATGGAACAGGAAGGAGGATTGAGTTTTCAGTTTCTTGAGAATAGCACTAAGATCAATGTATAAAAGACATGAAAGGCAGATTTGGGTATGAGGTAAGGCATTGATTGCTACCAATTAGTAATTAATGGTTATATGGGCTCCATAGCAGACTCTGTGGCCAGGAACATTTATGTAGAGGTTAGATTGCTTCTCAGAGGCGATCTCAGAACTGACTAGGAGTTTGGATCTATTGAGAGTTTGAAGATCCTAGGTCTATGAAACAAAAATGGCTGAAATAGGAAAATCATGAGGAAAGGAGGGCTTTTGGGTTCCACATAGGTGCCTCCTGATTGGTCAGAGCTAGCATGATCACATAATTAGTTTATGTTCCAAACTAGGGCATGTTTTAGACTGAAAGGAGGATTTATTAGTGATTATTCTGGGACAAAGGCAAATACTAGGATCGTCGTCGCAGACCCCCTGGAATCTGGGGCCACCTTAGCCATGGGAGCCTGATGGAGAATGGAGTGGGGAGGCCTGGACTTCACAGGTACTGACATCTGGGTGAATGGCCAAAAAGGACAGACATCCCCAAGCCAGACCGCTCCACTTCTGTAGGCTAAACCTTCAAAGAGGCCCTGTCTGTGATGGCCTTTGGTGATAGGTGTTAAAATCCAGTGGGCAGGGACAATGTGTGACTACTGAAAACATGTGTCTGACATAGATCCTCATGCCCTGAGTCTCCTCTAGCATGACTCATTTTTAAGAGACACCGAGCTTGAATAATGCCATCTTCCTTCCTGAGTCATGAACCCAGCCCATTCCAGTCTGGGAAGGAAACTGGATTTCACATACTCTGATATCCTTCTCAGTTTTTAAAAACTGCTTTTCTGGTTTGCTCAGTGACCCTGGGCAAGTCACAACCTCTCTGTTCGGGTTGGCTTCTCCTTTAGTGGAAATAAAATGGAAATAATAGTTACGTCAGAGAAGAAACGATTCAAAATCATCCAACAAAAAGATGCCACATGGAGCCAAATGATATTATTATTTTTATGATAGCTATTAGCAGAGCTGCTTCTTGTCCCAGCCCTCGTCATTAGGCCATTGGGCATGGAATAAATACAGGTTTGGCCAGTGACTGGTATTTGATGATGCTGGCACTGGAGATGAAGGGGAAGAATTTCTCTCTGGCTTGTGTCTCACTATGAACCTCCTCATACCTAGATCCCAATGCCTACCGAGTGTGGAAACTGGAAACCGGTGACAAGCTCAGCTACTTGTTTCATAGCAGAGGCAGCCTATTCAGGAAACCTTTTAATAATGATGCTATTACAATATTATCTTTATTCCTTCCTTAATCCTCTTAATAAATAGTGACTGAGCGCATCTGTGTGCCAGGTTCTGTTTCTGAAGCACAGAGCAAGGTGTATAATGACAGCGTTAAGCTCATCAGTGTCTGTTGATCCAGGAATTTGTGGGATGTGAGGTTTGGAGTGGTTATCTCCTGTTGCAATCTCATCTCTCTTATCTGTCCTGATGCCTAAGAGATATTTCTAAATGCCAAACTGCTCTTGTTGCCTCTTTCCTAAAGGAACAAGACCACATTTCTCAATGTAGTGCAGCAGAATGAATCTTCAGGGGTTGGCCCCTGTTCACCTTTCTGTCTCTTCTCTCACTAAGCCCCTCGTTGGACCGTAAGTTTCAGCTATTGGGATTTTCCTGTGGGTCTCTGAATATTCACCTCTTTTATGCGTCTAGGCCAGGGCTGACAGACATCAGTAAAGGGCCAGACAGTAAATATTTTTGGTTTCCTGAGTCATGTGGTCGCTGCTGCAAGTACTCAGTGCTGCTGTTGTAGTGCACAAGCAGCCACAGCCAAAGTGTAAATGGACGAGTGTGGCTGTCTTCAAATAAAACTTTATTTACAAAAACAGGTGGCAGATTGGATTTGGTTCACAGGCTGTAGTTTGCTGATCTCTGCTTTTGCTCATGCTGTGGTTTTTCACTTGTCCACTTTAAACGTCTCTTCCTACTCTATTCAGCTGTCCATTATTCATTCAATTGTCACCTCCAGTCTGAGGTCTTTCCATACTACCCTGAGCAGAAGTGGTCACTTGTACCCCTGTATTCTGTACATATCACCCCCACAAGTAATGGAAAATTAAACCTGTGTTTTCTCCCCTAACCTAATTGTAAGCTTCATTCATTCATTCATTCATGTACGCATTCATTGGTTCATTCATTCGACAATATTTTAATGAGTGCCCACTATGGAAGAGAGTTAATGACTTTTTAGTCTTTGTACAACACCCAGCTGAAAGTGTGGCATATAAAACATTCCTAATACATGCTTATTGATTAAAAGCAGATAGAACTCAATAAACAAGTCCATTGCCAAAGATACACTTGCATCTTTATTGTAAGTGCCGAAGAGTAGGAGGAAATCGTCTTTAGTGACGATTCAAATCGATTCAAATCGTCTTTCAACCTTTGTGGAGGGATTTGGTTGCTGATTGTGTTTGGAGATTTTCTTTCAGGGTTTCTGTAGCTTGATCTGGAATAGTTTGGTGGCTCCCAACTGTTGTCTATTCTTATCCCTTTTCCTAGGCCCCAGGGTCCTGCTTTCAGATGACCTCTTATGGCAGGACCAAGAGCAGTAGCACCAACTTTGAAACTTCCACCTGGGCAAGTGACCGATGGGTGAGTTTGAAGTTTACCAATATACTGCAGTATATTTCTTATTTTTACTTTTATTTTTAAATAGAAGATCTTTTTCTTTTCCATTCCTCCCTGAGAGAAGAGGGCTATCTGGGGTAAGGAACTTAAACAGCTCACAGAATGGAGATAGTGAAATAGCTTCCTTATAATCTTTTTTCCTTGAAATCTACTTTGTGTGTGTGTGTGTGTTGGGGGTCTAGTCTCTGGCTCTTTGAGAGTAATTTTGAGGTAAATGTAAAAATGAAGACTCTTGGTTATTCATATTACAGAATTTATTTCATGGTTTCATGGAGCCAAAGAATATTTTAAGTAGGACTTAAGTTATTCTTAAATTTACAACCCATTCTAAATGTAAACAGAAGATTTATTTAATTGGTTGTCACCAATGGAACCGAAATGACTTCATTTTATTTCCACCTGGTCAGATGTAGATTTTCAATGGTTACCAGGAAGGAAATGTGTTTGTAGTTAGAGGTGGAGAAAAGAAAATGGTTACAGATGGTTATAAAACAAACATAGAACCTCCACGCTCTTTCTCATGTTACAAAAGCAAATAGGAAAGAAGCCACAACTGGGATTGTAGCACAGAGTGTGTGTTGGGTAAACACTCCAGGAACGAGAATGTTCTGGGTCTCCACTTTTTTCAGTTAGAGAAAGCCAGTAAGGGCAGTGGCAGCTGAACAGGGGACAAGGCTGTCTGTTCTCTAACTCACCCCCACAGGTAAGAGAAAATTAAATCAGGGTTCCATTGTGCCCAGGTGACCTTCACCGATGCTCAAGGGTTTGTCCCGACACTTTAAGACTGGTTACTTCCGTGAGGAAACCAGGGTGACAAGAAATGGTGCACCGTGTTGCAGAGGAGGGGGATGGGGTCGCAAACTGACCTTTGGTTACAAAAGAAAAATAAGGCAGAGTTGCTATCTGACCAGGGCAACCAGGGTAGTAAACACAGTGAGGGCAAAGGGGAGAGCGTGCAGCATTTGTGAGCTAACCCCATTGCAACAAACGCTCACGCAATTTGGTGGTAAGGAACTTCTGGCAAGTTCCTCATTTAGTAAGCTGTTGTCATACTATATTTTGAATGGATTTATAGCCAAGTGTGTGTGTGTGTGTGTGTGTTTTAGGTGAGCAAGGCGTTGGCAAATGAGTTTCATAAAGTGTGCTGCTTGCTTGCCTGAGAGATTAAAGTTTAAAATAAAATACTATCTTCCTTCTTGTTTCTGGCATGAACAAATACTCTACTTTCAGCAATTCTGATCAAATGTTAAGCGTCATCGTTTATTTGGCAGTGACTGTCAGAATTAAAATTCACATATCCCTTGACTCTGTAATTCCATTTTAAGTGATTGATTCTACATGTATGTGCAAAAATATGTTTGTAGAAATAAAAATCTGGAAACCACCAGCATGTCTATCAGAAGGGGATGGGTAAGAGATGGGACATCCATATTATGGAATGTAGTGCAACTGTGTAGATTTGCAACAAAACCCACAATGTCTGTTAAGTTTCACCAAGGAACGTAAGATTATGTGTAAGAAAGGGGAGAGGACACACACACACATACACACACAAGGAGATTTCAAAAAGTTCATAGAAAAATGGGATGAAAAGATAAAAATAAAAAAATACAAACTTTATTTCTCAACATAAGCTCTATGAAGTTTCAGATGCTTTTATAACAAATGATACCAGCAATTTATTCCATCCCCAGAGAACTGAGGCTCCTGGGAATTTAACCATGTCAATGCAGTCTTTTTTACATTATTCACTGAAGACAAATGGGTGTCCTTTACAGATTATTTATTTGTTTATTTTTTTTTAATGTTTTTAGATAGAGTCTTGCTCTGTTGACTGGGCTAGAGTGCTATGGCATCATCATAGCTCAGGAGTTGAAGACCAGCCCGAGCAAGATGGAGATCCCCATCTCCACAAAATAATTTTTTAAAAAATTAGCTGGGTGTGGTGGCACACACCTGTAGACCAAGATACTTTGGAGGCTGAGGCAGGAGGATCACGTGATTCCAGGAGTTTGAGGTTGCAGTGAGTTCTGACTGTGAAACTGTACTTCCAGCCTGGGTGACAGAGTGAGATCCCGTCTACCAAAAAAAAAAAAAAAAATTGTGTAAGCTGAGCCAAATGAGATATCTGTGCTGGCTATTGGTGCTGGCTATTATTTCTGCCATTAATCATCAGTCCTCTTCAATTAGGGAACAAACAGATTAATTTTTGCCTTGAAAATTGATGTGGATGGTCTGCCACTGCAGGCTTTATAAAATGAGTTGTCCATTTGTAAACTGCTGATTTCTTTGGAGCATTGCTCCCATAAGCTTTTCCCAAGGCATCCATGATTTCATTATTCTTCCACTCAAGCTGCACCATAAATTTGATGTTTTTCTTGCTTCCGTGTTAGCAGAATTTATGTTGCTCTGATAGGGGCTCTTTTCAAACTGATAATTTATCCTTCTTAGTGCTTCAAATCTAGATCCTTATTCAGACATGTTACAACAAAGTTAACACAACTTTATTTTGGTGCAAAAAAATTTTGAAGTCCAGGCATAGTTTTTTCATATTGCACCTTTTTAATGAAATTTTTGAAGACCTCTCATGTGTGTTTATGCTTATATGTGTGTGTGTGTAACAGAGGGAACAGCCTGAAAAAGAGTAAAATGTTTTGCAAACTGTCTCTTTAAACAATCCTGGCCGGGTGCGGTGGCTCACGCCTATAATCCTAGCACTCTGGGAGGCCGAGGCGAGTGGATTGCTCGAGGTCAGGAGTTCAAAACCAGCCTGAGCAAGAGACACCCCCCCCCTCTCTACTAAAAATAAAAAATTAATTGGACAACTAAAAATATATTACAAAAACATTAGCGGGCGTGTGGCTCACGCCTGTAATCCTAGCTCTTGTGGAGTGCCGAGTGCGGCGATGGCTCAGTCAGATGTTCAAACAGCTGAGCAAGAGCGAGACCCGTCTCTACTAAAATAGAAAGAAATTCAATTGGCACAACTAAATATTATACTTAAAAAATTAGCCGGCATGGTGGCCGTCATGCCTGTAGTCCTAGCTATTCCGGAGCTGAGACAGGGAAGGATCACCTTGTGCCCAGGAGTTTGAGGTTGCTGTGAGCTGGAGAGCGCCATGAGCACTCACTCTACCTGGCAACAGAAGCGAGACTCTGTCTCAAAAAAAAAAAAACAAAAAAAAAAAAAAAAAAATTAGCCGGCATGGTGCGCTCTGTATCCTAGTTACTTGGGAGGCTGAGACAGGAGGATCACCTGAGCCCAGGAGTTTGAGGTTGCTGTGAGCTGGGATGACGCCATGGCACTCACTCTAGCCTGGGCAACAAAGTGAGACTCTGTCTCAAAAAAAAACAAAAACAAAAAAACAAACAATCCTGCTTCACTCTTTTTGGGAATTAAAACCTGTATCCCTGCCCAAGGCTAGTAATCAGAAGTGCAAGGAGTGTTCTTTGTTTTTTTTTTTTTTTTTTTGTACTACAGGAGAAGGCTCAATGGAATTGTCTAGGGAGAGGTCATGAGATTATCTTCACCAGAGATGTTACAGGTAAACAGCAATAGGTTGAAGCTGAAAACTCCTTTTAAAAGCTCTATATTTCTTATTATAGATAGGACAATGGTACTTTAAGACACAAGTCTACCATTCTCCTTTTGCTGGCAAATTAATAAACTTCCCATTCCTTTTGCTCAAACCGCTTGTCCTCATTGTTCATTCAGCTGCGGAGACAAGTGTTAAACTTTCAGTAACATATATATGCATATATGTAAAATATTCTAGAGGGATACACAAGAAATTTCACACTTGATGTCCCTATGAAAAAAAGATTGGGAGACTGGGTTCCAGAAGTTGATAGAAATTCACTTTCCTCTCCATACTGTTTTGCACTGTTTGAAATTTTTATTGGCCAGGTGCCTAAGTCATTTTTCAAAAATAATTTTAATGGAAAGGTCATTCTTCCCAATTAATTAGACTTTTGCTGTGATGGTATCAGTGCTTAATGAAATTAAATATGGTCTGAATCGTTCCTAAAAATGGTTTAGAACCTTATGAAAGAAGGCATCTTTCAGTTAAATGTATATTTGGGAAGGGCACTTCAGTATGCAATGAATAATAGAGAACATTGATTTGGGCTGCTATTTTTATGCTGACAGTTTGGAATCCTAGAGAGTTGTGTAGAAAGCCCAGCACCTTTCCCCAGGAAGTCATGGCAAAGGCCCTTTCATGTTGAAGGGACACCCCGACTCAAAACCTACAAAACCATTAATTAAAACTTACCCACTTTTCTCATATATTCTAATTTTATAGCTCTTTAGGAGCCATTATTGCCATTTCTCCCTTTGCCTGTGGATGACTAAAGAATGCTTGGAAGGATAAACAGCAACGGATTTATTTACATTAAATAATACCCTGCTCACTCCCAGGAGCCAATAAAGTTGGTGGCATTTAGAAATCAGTCACATGACAACAACCTAGCAACTTCCCTCTGGAGTCGGGCTCATAGATGGAAAAATGATAAGTGTGGAAGAGTGGCCACACACATCCCTTTTTCAAGATCTGCTACTGACACACATAACCTAATATTTGTACTCCCATAAAATGCTGAAATAAAAAAAAAAAGATCTGCTACTGAATCAACACTTGATGTTCTGGGGAAGGGTAAATGACAGCCTGCCCTTCCTTTCACCTTTTTATTAGCCTGTGTTATCTCTTGTAATGTTGGGTTTATTGTTAATTAACCCATCATTTGTCTATCACTTCTCTCTTCTCAAATGAACTGCATACTCCTTGAGTGTTAGATCAGTGTCATTCATTCACTTGTTCATTTACAGAACGAATACTTCATGCATAGCTACCCTATGCATGATGCTTTACTAAACCCCCAGGGATGCAAAGATGAATAAGACATATTCCTTGCTTTCAAGGTGCTCAGGGCCTTCTAGTCCCTTCACAGTCTGATGGTCTAAATCAGATTTGTATTTCCCAAGGGTACTGACAGAGAAGGGGCTCACAGAGGTGCTTCCATACATGTTGGTTGATTGAGAAATTGCTCAAGCTGTGAGCCCGGAACGGTGCCTCGATAATGTGGGTGTGCATTACACTTTTGCTAACTAGCTTTTAGGAAATCACCAATTTTTCAAGATCTCTTTAATAATAACATTTAGAAAAATAATTTCTTTCTTAGATTAGAAGTTTCTAGACCTGGGAATAGAACCTCTTTTAGGGCTGACACTGAGGACAATTATTCTGGCCCAACAATAGCCTGGGCTCTAAACTCCTTAGGAAGTGGGCTCACTTTTCACAGGAACAAACAGCTACTCACTAACAAAGGGGCGTAGGAAGAGGGAAAGAGGTCAGGGAAAATAACATTTCCTGAGTGCCCACTCAAGGCCTGGAACTCCACACGCTTCACTTCATTTAGTGACCAACTACTGGAGAAATGCAGTGATACTGAGGTGGAGGAAGAAATGAGCATTTTTTGATACTGGCCCGCAAGTTAGTAGGTGATGGATATATTCGGATGTATGTATGCTGTACTTATAATTTGAAATTAAATAAAGATTTACCAAGCAGTCTTCTACATGCTAGGTGCTGAAGGAGCTCAGGAAATTTCACCCCAAAATATGAGTCCTTGGTATAAAGAGTATTTTGAATTGCAGGACTTTGGAGATCAAAGAGCATTGGAAAGGGCTGTCCCTCCATCTGCCTCAACCTGACTAACAGATCAAAAGAACAATGGACTTTTCTTCTCCTCCCTGTTATCTCAGTTGCAGGAAAAAAAAAATGATCAAGAATACAACCAGATCTGGCCCAAATAATTTTAAATATAATACCTGCTTCCCAGGTTAATTTAATTTGCTTAGAGAATCATTTACAAGTCAATCTGTTTCCCCATCCATTCATCCTCCCAAGCAACCATTTATTGCCCCTAAACAGAATTCCCTATGCTGCTTATCCTCACCCTCCTGTCCAAAAGGCAAGGGATAAAAATATATGGATCCCATTGGGACATTAAGCAATCACTCTGAGATTCACCACATGCACATGGTAGATAAACCTTTCTCTTATTAATCTGCATAGTAAATAAACCTTTCTGTTACTAATCTGCCTTAATTGTCAGTTGAACTTTGGAGGAAAAGGCAAGTTTCCCCCACCCCCAAAAGGCCTGAAAAACCAAAAAGCCCGGCCCCCAAAGAAGCAAAAGAAAAAAAACGAACCAAAAGTAAAAAAATCACATGAAAATTATATAACATTTTAGATTTTAGAGCTGGCTGGATCCATAATGAGCATTTTATCTGGAGTTTCCTAAAATGGCATGTTCACACCATTGGTGGCACATAAGATGATTCGAGTATTACACAAACATTTAAAAATTTCATTAGGCATTTATTTTAGCATGCATCAGAAAAATCTAAAGCATATCAAATTCTTGAGTACATGGATATTACTGCCTACTGTGAGGCTACATAGGAAAGTGAATTGATTTAAAGATTATCTACAGGAAAACATCAAGGAAGTATCTTCAGATAGGGATGTGGAACAGGAGTATGGCAAAGACTCTGCTAGTGTTATTTGAATGACCTGAGTTTGGCAAATGCAGATCAAGCCCAGTGTCTAGGATGTAGACAGGTTAAGTGAGTTATATCCAAAGTCATGAGGCCAGAGGAGATCATAGACAAAAACACGGTCACCTGACTGGTTCTCTGCCCCGCTGGCCTCATTCAATCACTGCTTCCTATTTTGCAGATGAGGAAACTGTGGCCTGAATAACAAAGTCTCTTTTGAATGCAGCAAGTCCCATGAGAATCTGACTGCAAAGTAGAAAGCACAGAGTTTGCTTCATGAAATATCACAAGTTAATATTTATAGAGTGCTTACTATGCATGCCAGTCTTATAAAGAGGTCATACATATTAATTTATGCTAATCCCCAAACCACCCTGTGAGATGTGCTTAGATATTTCTATGATCCCTCTTTTCATGAGGAAATTAAGGAACAAAGATCAGATGGCTTTCTTAGATTATAATTTACAGAGCTGGAATCTGAACCCATATAAGTCTAGCTTGAGAGTTTGTCTCCTTAACCATTATACACACAGCTCACCAGTAATAAGTGGACAGGTAGACTAGGCAACTTGTCTACCTGGTGAAGTTGGAAAGATTCTGCTCAGACAATATATCACTCCCCTGTCCCCTCCTGCTTCAAAGTCCCCAATTAGTCCCTTGTTCATTCCATGGAAGACATTGTTTCTTCACACCATCACTTGTTAATGTGCAGAAACTCCTGAGAAGAACCCATGATTACCAAGAACAATCTTATTGTGAGAATAATTTGTTAGATTGCTGTGAAGAGAACTATAAAGAAATAGTCCCACTCCTAAGGTTGAAGAAAGGGAAAGAGTTCTAGCAGCTGGACAGAGGAAATGGTGGGGCAGAGGGTGACGCAGGAGAGAAGGCCCCTCTAGGACTGGCCCAGTGAGCCGCAGGGGGCCACCAAGTGTTGAGAAAGCCCTGCCGTGGCGCCCAGCACTTGGCCCAGCACCTGGCGTAGAGCAGGTGCTCAAAGGCTTTGTCAACTGCGTGGAAGCCCGGATGGAACCGAAGCCAGGCGGGGAGGAGGGCACGAGTACAGTGATTGGAGGTGAGAGGGCATCCAACACTTGATCTACTTTTTAGGTCGCTCCAAGTAAGCCCTAGGAGGAGATCACAGCGCCAGATTTCCCGTCCGCAGACAACAGAGCTGTGAGCAAACCACGCCACAGTGCTCCTGCTACGGCTAGAACGCCGTGCTTGGGAAATCCGTTTCATGTTTGTCTCCTATCACCGCGGCCCTGGTTCAATCTCCTGGCCTACACTTCCTGAGATTACCAGGCCTCATTCTCTCTCCATAGGGTGCCTCAGGGTGGGCCAAGGGCATCTGGGGACCATGGCCGGCCTCCTTTGTGCGGGTGCCAGAGGAGGATCAGCCTGTGGCACTTTTCTCTATCTCGCCAGCAGGTGCTGACAGCTGAGCCATTCCACGCACCTTGGGGGCACAGAACTGCCGGAAACCAGGGCCAAGTTCAGAGCCTGAAAATTCTTTCAAAGGCTACAAGGAGAAACCTGGAGGGCCGATGGCGCGTTACATAAGCCGTCTGTGCGCAACGTTTACGCAGAAGCACTTGTGGAGTGTTGCAACATGACTCCACATCTTTATCAAAAATGTGAAACATCCACCCAGCACACACTTAAAAAGCACTAAAGCGCTTCTCCGCCAGGTGGTTAAGGCCGCTTGATGGGGCTGGCAGGAGAGAAGCCTTGCAGGGGGGCATGCCTTACTGTAGCTCTTGGCCCGGGGAGCTGAACACGCAGTACCTTGTACCCCAGCAGCCTTGGGCAGCCCAAGCCTCTGATAAAATGTACTTTTTTTGTGTTTGTTTTTCCTGGCAGTCTCATTTTGGGTTATAAATGGCTCATGATTTCCATCCCATAGATCCATTCCTGCCTCCGTTACGTTTTCTTCGGGCTTTCTGAAATAACCAAAAGGTTGGTAAAAAAAAAATAATAATAATAATAATAATAATCAACTCGGGTGAACTGCGTGTTCTGACCTTGAGCAGAGGCTGAATTGCCACATCACTCACGCCATCTACAGTTGCTCCCACGTGCGAGAGGTTGGCTGGAGAGGCCTCCCGAGAGCAGGGGATATAATTATAGTAAAGCGCTCGGTACTGTTAAATGCCAGGAAGTGGCGCAGACCTTCCCTCACTCCCGTCCTGCAACCTTCTAGAGGACTGTTGGGCAATCATCAGAGGTTATAAAGTTGGAACAGCGTTCCCCCTGATAGGTCATTTTCCCTCCAGGACAGCTTGGAGGCAAATTTTATTAAGTATCAGGTAGCTGACCCAGAGCAGTATAAATAGCGAGAGAGCATATGACAAACCCAGAAATGAGTGTGGCTAAACCCCAGGCTGAAGACGTAGAACGTGTTTACTGTTGTCAGCACCTCCGCGGGGATGTTAGCCTGGCAGCCAGCCAGGAAAGGAGTTTAACCATAGAAGGGGAGTGAGTAAGGCTTGATCTTAGAAAAATAATTTTATCGCTACTTTTGGAAGCTGGCGGAGCACAGAGTTCATCTGGGGAGGGGAGCTGAGGATAAGGGTGCATGTGATCGAGTGTCACTTGGGCGTAGAGGCCAACCTTGGATTATGAAATATCCCAAGTATGGCCAGGTAAGAGCCAGGGAAAAGGCACGGAAGTGTGGTTTACACTGGACAGGACCGATATGCAGCCACTGCTAGACGAAAGGGACCTCCGAATCGGAATTTTTCAAGGGAAACATGGACAGACCCTTAATTCAGGTCACTTCTCATCACTGTTCTCTACTTTTATTTTAGGGTAAACCATACAGTGTAAACCGTGCCTCGGCGACGTCGACCAGACCACAGATGACGGAGTTAGGAAAGGCCATGAGCTTTCCAAGGTCAATGTCCTAAACCAGCTGCTTCTCCCCGGTCCTGTCCCCCCACTGGCCGGAGCTGTTGACATCCTGGAAGATAACCTTGTATTTCTACGATGGGAGGGAGGGAGCTCTGGGGAGGAATGGCGTAAGTTTGAAGTAGAAGGAATTTGTTGAGCGCTTTCACTTAGAGACCACAAATCTCCAGGTGTCCCTGGCCCCGCCTGCAGCCCGCAGCTTTCTGTGTACCTTGTAAGGGAAGCCTTCTGCGGCTGCCAGAAAGATTTTGAAGGGTGGCAGTAATGTTAGTTAGTGTCTGATCCCTTTGAAGAAGACAAAAGCCACCCGAGTATATCAATTCCTATCTTTTTATTGAAAATCAGTATTTTTATATCTAGAACCAAGACAAAAAGGACCACATGCCAGAGTAATCATGAGAGGCTGAAGCAGTCAAGAAATTCTTCAGAGGTGTGGGGCATGGATGAGACCCCGGCTGCTTCCCCCAGACTCCATCTCACTCCCCACAAAGACTGTTGGCTCCTTACCCAGTATTCATTCTGCATTTCTTCCTTGGTAAAACAACTCCAACGTGGCAATGTGCCTGGCTAAAAGCCCACATTTCCTTGTCTCCCTTGCAGTAGGGGTGGCTAATGAGATCTAAGGAGGTGTTGCTGAGTGGTCAGGGTTGCCAGATAAAATACAAGATGCCCAGTTACATTTGAATTTCAGTTAACAGTAAAAATTTGTAATTGTAAGAATACATATAACTATGTCATATGTAAAATATTTGTATTTGTATTTGCCAAATCTGGCAACTCTATGCACAAAGCTTCTAAGGAGCCAGGTAGACACTCCTTTTCTCTCTTTCTCTTTTTTCCTGGGACATGGATGGGATAGCTGGGGCTTCAGCAACCATCTTGGGTCATGAGGTTAAGGATGGCAGAGCATACATACAGAGGACTTGGGTCCCTAATGACTATATAACTTCAGGCTTTTTTATATGGAAGAATAACCATTAATTTGCTTTAGCTGCTAGATGCGTCTCTGTGATTTGCATTCAATTGTTATTCCTAACTTATAGCCATAATAAAGAGTGCATTGTTATTTTGGGTATTTGATTAAGTCTGTTTACCATGTGTCATTTTGCCTTTGCCTCTGACATATCATAAACCACTCTACTTTTGCTCACTATATTTTTTAAGGACCTCAAGATGGGTGGACAGTGTTCCCTACGTCCTTTGAAATGACAGCCCTTAACGTGAGCTTCCATGTGGTGCTATTACCTGACTATTTTGCAAATGGCATTTAGGTGTTTTGAGTAACTGCTTTAGATAATTCATAGTAATGACACCTATAAAACAAAACAGCTCTTATCTCTGCACAAAGATTTGGCCTGAAAACTCAATGAATTGATGTTCTGAAACCCCAGAACCATACAACAAAACAGTTTTGATAGCTTCCCGTATATGCTGGAAAGATTAGCTAAGGACAGTCATGTGCACAGGAAAAGCTAATCTGCAAGGCACCATCAATAATTCAGGAATGATGTAAGATCTACCTCCTTCAGCCTTGCCAGCAAGTCGACTGCTTTGAATGACCACGGCGAGGCATTCTGGGAAATGGAAGGGGTCATAGAATTGGCCTCTCTGCATATAAGCCCAAGCTAACTGGCTTAGCACAGCTGGTTATGTAGGGAAAGAGAAGTTACCTGGGCTATGACCTGTATAAATACCTGCCCTCCCCTTTTGCAGTGGAATCTTTTCGAAGGTTAAGCAACAGTAAATAATCAACTAAGATTTCTCAGATTAGCTGCATTTACCTTTCTCTGAAAATATTTTTGCCTCCATGAAGACGAAGGAACTTTGGAATGAGAATGCTTTTTCCTTTCAGGACTCTCTGCTTCAGACATGCAAAGAACAAGATCTGGCTGGCAGAGACCGCCTGCGGGAGGGAGCTAGACTTTGCGGTGTGGGTGAGGGGTGGTGGGTTAGAATTTAACAGAAGGGAGGGGAGGAAAACTCCCATTTTATTTTGTAAGTTTCTGCATGGGCCTTTCAGCAGCATCTGTCAGCAAGAAAGGGGCAAGCACAGTCTTGCCCCTCTTCCATCCCTGGAGGTAAAGAGGGTCTGGGAGGCAACTCCTGGGATATGAGTTCTATTATGGAAAAGCAGCAAGTAACGCAAGGGAACATGCAATACACAAATGGAGAGGGATTAGCCTAGAAGGTCTGGCCTTGGTGTCTGGCGATGATAGGTGATGATGTCATGACGGTTAGCTCAGAGGAGAGGATGGATGAGCCCATGCATATGTGTCTGTATTACAAGTGCAAATGAAAGTTGGACTGATGTGAACTGGCAGGGTGGGGTGGGTGGAACCAAAGCAAATATGTTCATTAGTATTATATTCATAATGTTAGGAGGGAAAAGAACTTATTTTTCTGTCCAGGGTACATTGACTTATATTTAACATTCACTCAGCAAACATTTATTGAGCATCTATATATGTCAGGCACTATACTGGGTGCTGGGAATGCACCACTTTTATAGTGCTGATGGCAGGAAGGGTAACAATGCCTTTGAACTTCACAAGAATTTTATGAGGCCCTTCCATCCCCCATGCTCAATAAGCCAGGCACCACCCTTGGACTTTGCTCTCATCTCATAAGATAATGAACATAATGACAATTGCTGTACACAACAAAGTGCATGTCACATGCCCATAAGCAAATTTGCAATGGTTTTTGTTTTCTTTCTTGTAGATAAAATTATAAGACCTGTAGTAAAAATTAGAAGACTTTCTTATGTTCGAAATCTTTTCTCTGCTACTAAACAATAATGACTTTGGTCAAGTCCTTTAATTTCTCTGGGACTAAGTTTAAGCATTTACTACTGGGACTAGTAGAAAGTAGGACTAGATTGATTTAATGAATCCTGGTTTGGGACCAGCAGTAAGAGGAGCTTAAGAAGCAGAGAGCCACTCACTAGACACAACTGATGGGACTGCAGACTACTTACCTCTTAGAGTTTTCATCTGAGAAATGGGGGTCATGTGATACTTGTTGGGAGGATGAAATGGATTAAAAACAAAGCAGCTGGCTGGGCGCGGTGGCTCACGCCTGTAATCCTAGCTCTTTGGGAGGCTGAGGCCGGAGGATCGCTGGAGCTCAGGGGTTTGACAGCAGCCTGAACACAGTGAGACCCCGTCTCTACCGAATTAAAAAAAAAAAAAGAAAGAAAAACAACAACAAAATACACAAAAAATAACACACGTGATTGGATGAAGGACACAATAGAAATCCCCCAGTGAATATGGCTATTTTTAGCCTACCCCGAAATTATTTGCATCTTGATCTATTGTTTGTTTCTATATATGCATGCATGCATGTATGTACACCTCCCTCTCTCTCTGTCTTTTAGCACCCATCTCTCAGTAAGTGGTTCATTGGGAAATCTCAACATATTGGGGACACAAACATGAAATAGATTCATTTTTTTTTTGTCCCTAATCAGTACTTTCAGTGGCGCTATGTCTAATCCCTTTTTCTGTCCCTCAACAACATCTAGGGCAGATTGTAGAAATTTGCGGTTTTAAAAAACAGGGTTCCTATCATTTAAATCTCATTCTGGTTCACAGCTTTTCTCTTCCTCTCTACCCTTTCTGGGCTCTGGCTTCCTTAATGTGTTGGGTGGGGGGGGGGAAAGAGGAAGGGGAGGCCCAGTGTCTCCAACCTGCCTTCTGGCATCCGTGGTCCTTCGGCACCCCTGATGCTGTGTGGTCTGACACTGCTGGCACGCTGGCGCTCCTGCATGGCAGGCACCCCAAGGCTGGCAGGCACCCCAAGGCTGGCAGCACTTTGAGGTCTTTAGAGAGTGCCGTGGGGTCTCCTGGGTGTGCAGCTAAGTCACCTGGAAGGCCTGGCACTGGATAAGCTTCCTCCACCCCCCTCGGCTCCTGCCACAGCTGCGACCTCACAACCTGTTTGCTATACCATGGCACGCTCTCCCTAGAACTCACTGATTTGTCTCTATGCTTCTGTGTAGTTTTGGTATTTTAAGATTTGTTCTAATAATGCGGTTTTTGCCCTTAGATGCTCATAAACTAAGCAAATAATCCCCATGATGTTTCTTTCCTTCCCCATCTTGGGGCAATCCTGCCGTTGGTCATTGTGCACGCATTTTTCTGGGTTTTCGCGCTGGGCTCAAAGCCTTTACCACGTCAGGCCACTGCTTGAGTGCATTTTCTGTCTAATCAACTGCACTGGGAACGCCTCCAGGCAAGGGCTGGGCCCTATTCCACTCTGCTTCAATACAGGCTAGTGCCCGCTGTGCTCCAGGGCTGTCCGTTGTTGCTCCTATGATCCATTCCACAAATCCAGCAAAAACCGTGCATGCCTCCCTACTCGTGCAAGGCACTAGCGGGGGCTCTCAAGACATGGCCACTCCACTAGGCAGGGGAGGCAGGCAGAACTGAGGGGAGCTGGGGACCCCTTCTGCTTTTACACTAGGGGACCCCGTCTTCCACTACTCCTCTTTCCCCAGTCTGCGTGATGTTAGCAGGAAAAGACGAAAAGAACAGAAGCCAGTGGAGTAAAAGCCAAGGCTTGAGAGGGAATGTCTTTAGCAATCATTTGACAAGTGTTTCTTACTCTCAGGTGTCCAGGCAGCCCCTGAACTCCGGCTGTGTGACATCTCCACAGCACGCACCCTTCTGTTTTACTTCACTGCGAAATTTCTCACTCCACTGTTGGCTGATTAACTCAGTTGGGTTAGTCTCATTTCCATAGAGATCAAGTCAAAGTCGTCCTTTTGAGTCAGAGTTCTGCCTCACCGGCTGGCTCTGGTGACCCCCACGCTCCACCTCTGGGACCTGCCTCACTCCTGCTGAGCCAGGGCAGGGGGCTAAGCCACCCCCGAGAACCTGCTCCCAGCGGTACTCGAGGTTCAATCAGACCTGTTTTTTTAACTAGTTTATATTATAGTCCTAATATTTAAAAATAAAGCTAACTTTGTATGGCTGATGTCTCCAGTGTGTTAAATGATAGTCTTTTTTTTTTTTTTTTTTTTTGAGACAGAGTCTCGCTTTGTTGCCCAGGCTAGAGTGAGTGCCATGGCGCCAGCCTAGCTCACAGCAACCTCAAACTCCTGGGCTCAAGCAATCCTCCTGCCTCAGCCTCCCAAGTAGCTGGGACTATAGGCATGCACCACCATGCCCGGCTAATTTTTTCTATATATATTAGCTGGCCAATTGATTTCTTTCTATTTATAGTAGAGATGGGGTCTCGCTCTTGCTTAGGCTGGTTTCGAACCCCTGACCTTGAGCAATCCGCCCGCCTCGGCTTCCCAGAGAGCTAGGATTACAGGCATGAGCCACCGTGCCCGGCCAAATGATATTCTTTTTAAAAAATGAATTTTTAAAAATACAGAAATAAAAATGACCACATCCATATTCTCATCACTCAGAATTAGCCACTATTAATGTTTTTTTCCATGTAAATATCCAGTCATTTTTTTTTTCTTTTGCTGGTATATGTTTAAAGATATATTTGATATCTTTAAAAGCCCAGGTGGCAAAGTGTGATGAAGAAGAAGGGGACATGGCCTTCTTCCCACTCCTGCACGGCTCTGCAGAGATCAAATGTTTATAATGCCATAAACACAGTGTGGGTGCTTACGAGAACACTGTTCCATGTGGTCTGATTACCCTGTACATTTAGAGACTAAGGACGCTTTTTTAGGGATGTTAACAGCTGTCATCATTGGGAATTGGCCAGTGGGGGAGGTGGAGTGGGGGACTCAGAGATTGAGTCTGCAAGGCAATTTCCCCTGGGTACTGTTGGTATCTTTTTAAAAGCACACAAGAAATTAAAAAATGCAATGTTCCCTTTTCATCAGATTCTTAAAGAATGTGCCATTCAAAAAATTTTGATAAACATTATTCTCCGGTGGACTAATTGTTGTTAACATTGTTTATGACTGAGCCTAAATGTACACATCTTGTTTGATCTCGTGTAGCTGCATTATAAGAGACAGCAGGCTTAGGGCCTCCCATGGAGTGTTTACTGTTAGCTGAGACACAGTTACAATCAAATAATGGCACAAGCAGCTACATTGTTGTCCT